CAGATCCGTAAGTTCAAGATGGGGTTCGATGACGTCATACCACGCGATTGAATTTTATATTACAACCAGAACCAATGTCTAGATCTAATGTAATGTGTTGCAAACACACACACACACATATTTAATCACACATTCACACACACACACATTATTATTATATATATATATATATATATATATATATATATATATATAATATTTCCTATATCTGTCGATATATGTCTATCTACCTATCTGTGTGTTTTTGTACCTACCAATTTCTCTATCATCCCAGTCTGTCCATATCTATTTGTATATATATATATATATATATATATATATATATATGTGTGTGTGTGTGTGTGTGTGTGTCTGTGTGTGTGCGTGTTTGTGTTTCGACCTATCTATCTGATACATTTCCATGTGTATTTTATCTTTAATCCCATTGTGCGATCAAATGATGCCTCGTTACCAATAACGTGATATTTATGCATTGCCAAATCATTTTAGAAATAAAATAACACTGACTCCCATGTGACTATGCAATGCGAAGAAAGCGAGCAATGACCTTTTTTTTCTAAAGAGAGACAATTTCGCACAAAATTCTTCCCTGTTTTCGAAAACCTTTTACTTCTTTGCGCACAGGGAACAGCCACATCCAATATTGACGATATGAAATGACGAAATCTAGCCTCCCTTATTTCTATCAATCATCAGCGTGGCCATTCAACCATCAAATTGATCATTGGAATTCATTTTTTTTTTTAATGGAGATAAAATTTGTATAGCTAATGCCTTGGCCACCTTAAATAAAATGGATTCAGTCTGGAAATCCGATCTACCAGACATCATCAAACGGAGATTCTTTCTAGACCGTGTTAGCGGTGGTGTTAATGTTTGGTGCCACAGCCTGGACTTTAACTAAAACACTAGCTTCTTAGTTTGATGGAACCTACACTCGGAGGCTGATATCTGTTATATTTAACAATTCCAGGAGGAAACATCTAACATAACAACTCTATGTACCCATCCTTCATATGTCTACAATCTTACGTGAATGCTCTTTACAGATCAAGAACTCGTGTATGATCTACTGTCTTGGACACCTAGCCATGGAGCAAAACGGGTTGGTCGCCCAGTAATTACCAGTTAGCATACCTAGGGACGATAACGAGTATGTCCCCATTCACATAAATACAGTAGTAAATACTGTATGTTTGCCTGCAGTTAGATATTCGTCTCCAGCTGTGCTTGTCACACTCTCTGTCTCCGTGCAGAGAGTATACTCAGACGCGGTTATGTCGAAGGGCAGAGTCTCGTCTCGGGAAACAGCCCCTCCCCCCCGACCCCGTTTTATACGGGGCATACGGAGAATTTTTGACCGAGCGTACAGGCTCGTAATACCCCACATTAACTTCGACCTTGTGCCGTATCTGATCGCGTGGAGCGTTTGGTAGATATCCTAAAATTGTAGATTCGTCTCCAGCTGTGCTGGTCAAGCTTTCTGCCTCCGGGCAAAGAGAATCCCCAGACGAGGCTATGCCGACGGGCAGAGTCTCGTCTCGTCTCGTCTCGGGAAACAGCTACCAGGATCCCGTTTCATATGAGGTCTACAGGGAAATTTTGACCGAGTCTACGGGTTCGGATATCCCACTTTAAATTCGGCCTTGTGCTACATCTGACCACGTGGGACGGTTGGTAGATATACTGCAGCTGAAGATTCATTGTGGAATTCAGTTGACTCACTTCTAGCAGTTGACTTCTTCTATCCGCCGCTGGCGAATCTTATATGTGCTGTTCATGTCCTAAGTATTATCGTTCATTACCAACCTTCGTTTGATTATTCTATTTAGTAACCTTCCCTAGGTTATAATATTACCTATATTGACCTGATATGTTATGATTCAGCATGTCTTCCCAATGACCTTTCGACCTTGATGCAGAACCGTGATGGTTGGCGTGATCGACTCGTGAATGTCCGAGCTAACTCGATCGAATAAAGAAAAATAAATGTCTAGCCGATACCCAGACGGGTCTATGTCGAAGGCCAGAGTCTAGTCTCGGGAAACAGCTACCCGACCCCGTTTTATACGGTGTATACGGGAATTTTTGACCGATTCCATCGACAGAGGATCAGTAACCGCCACATTTCCTTCCTTTTCTTTCACTTAATTTCATCATGATCAACATTCTCCCAATATAAAAGCTTACAGTTGAAATAGTAATGATGAATGATGTGTAGATTAAGAACTGCGGATTATGAGATTAAGGAAGAAAGACATTGACATTTAACTTAAAGATATCAAGACTGGAGTATTGACAGATTAACACTGACACGGTCTCGTCTCCAAGCTGAATGTCGCCATCTTCTTATATTTGAAACAAGGAGGAACTGTGGGTGATTCTACTTTATGGAGGTTCCATATCGTGTCCTAGCGTGTCTGATTCTTTTTTTTTTTTTTTTTTCTAATCGCTACCACACTATGCAAGACGCAGGGGGTTACTGGGTGTGGGAGAATTAGGAACAGAATCGTTAATAATAAGCGGGAAGAGTAAAGAGTGATAAGGAGAACATTAGACAGCGATTGAAATTGAAATTTTTGCAGACTAAAGTTGGCTGGAAAGCATTGAGCTGTAAACGAGAAGTGCAAGAAAAGAAACTGTTAGAATAAACCTTAGATAAAGCCAGCTAAACTGTAAATTGAGTCTAGTGCTGCGCTTAAATTCAAAAAGTCTAGGTACCATAGCGAAGAGCTCATCCGAGCAATTACCATGAGAGTATTTATAGAAAAGACACAGAGAGGCAACCTTACTGCGGTGGGGAAGTGAGCCTCTAGATCAGGACCAATAATATTGTTGATACTTATTTGAACAGGTAGAAGTAATGAATTGATCTAATCTGAATGGATCTATATCGTTCAGGTAAAGAGCCATTGATTTATATCGGCCATGTAAAGAGCCATTGATTTATATCGGTCATGTAAAGAGCCATGGAAAAAGTGATAGTCCTGCAATGTTGCGCCTGAGGAAAGAAGCTCCAGAGGGAAAAAAAGATTTTTTCCCTGCACAACGCTGGAAAATGAAGACTGAACAGCGCCAATATTTCAAATTTAGGTATAAATGATGCCAGGTACTCTCTGGGACAATAGAATCAGACAACCTTTTTCCATCATCTTATTTATCGTCATACCATCATTTTTTTTTAATTTGTTTAGAAACTGTTCATTTTTTTATGGCTCTTTATTGTAAGAACCTATGCCTAAAAAAAAATTATAATCAATAGTCTTGACATATGATTATAATTTTTACCCACTCTGAAACTACATTTTCAGTCTCTTTTGACAAATATGGCTCAATGATTTAACTGTAAATGGAAGATGAGCCCATCGTAGCAAACCTATCAGGTTATTAATTGTAATGTCTTCTTTAAATTTTCTGTCAATTTCTGTTTGGTTACATGCCGGTTTTATGTCAGTCTGGGAAAAGTATACCATTCCTGCTAATTCGTCACTTTCAGTTTCTCTGTGTCGTAGAGTAAACGAAAAATGTTCCACCGTATGAATTACGAATCCCTCGTCGCCAAATGTGTTGTAGAGTAGTTTTCATAGTGGAGGCTTGTATTTCACTAAGGCAGTTCTAAATTATGTCCGACGTATAAAACGTTAGGAACTTGAAATAATAGTTAATGACGCAGCAATCTAGTTGTGGAGCTCATACTTTAATGTCCGACATCAACTGACTCACACAACTACACAGAGCCCTGGCGACTGCTACTACTACTACTTATTATCTGTGGGAGAGTCTATTTACAATAGAATAGGTACGTTCCGGTATAACACTATGTTAAGTAAAGGGGGTGAATCAAGAGCTTATCTACTGATTCATACATTACTTGTAGTCCCCGCATATCCTCAAATCGCCATTCGGCTTTCGTATCGCAACAATTGGTGAAGCACAAGGGTTACCACGTTGGGTTATTTCTTCCAATATGCCTTTTTATACTATTGTCTGTATTTTTGCAACTGCCATCGGTAGAATGTGAATAGGTATTTTTCGAGATTCAAAATGATGGGGTGATTATTTTCTTTTAGACGTATATTAAGAATCTTGCGTCAAGTCTTTCTGACTTTATACAGTTTATTAATCTCTTCGTATCCACTTTTAAAACGTTTATTCCCAGGAGTCCATGATTCTTTTTATGCATTCGATAACAGTGAGGAAAATAATCTCAAAACCGATTTTTTTCTCGAAAGTTTCTTCAAAGAGGCCTAGAATTTTGATAACAGCTCCACCAAATGGTCTTAAATTAAGATTACTCTTTTTCTTAATTTGGATTTACCCATTTTCTCAGATATTCCTTGGGATCAAAGTAATATACACTCCACACACACACTCGTGTCAACCTGTATGTGAAAAGTTATGCTATTCAATTTTAATGTCTCTCTCTCTCTCTATTTTATGCAAGTGTTCTTACCGAATATGCTAATGTATTTTCAGTATGAGAATTTATATCTTCAATCTTCCTAATTACTTTTTTGTACCTGCACACAGTTTGGAAAATGGACATTTCTTTTACAGTTTAATCATAATTTTCTTAAGGCTGGACATTTGTTTTGTATTTTTGTTTTTTTTTATTTCCTGTTCTTTGTCGCAATATTTGCACTTAATTAGGATTTCAGTTCTGTTGCATGCTTCCACATTTTTTTTTAAATTATTAAATTAATTAATTAATTCTACACTTGCTTCTAAATTCATATAATTCACTTGTAGACGTTCTAGGGCCTTATGTATGTATGTAACATTATACATGAATTCAGTTAATCTTAAGAGAATCAATTCGTCTTCGATAGACATTTCTCTTGAACCCACTTTTTAAAATTCGCAATATCTTGATGCTGCTTTCAATCTGTTTAAATAGTCCATATTGTTATGAAGTAGAGTAATCTCTAAAAGAGATGTTGTCTGTCTGCTTATATCATTCAGTTGCTGATGGTAGCTCGGCTGGCATTCAAATCAGTACCTCATTTACATGCAATACTACAGAAATGAAAATAGATAGATAGATAGATAGATAGATAGATAGATAGATAGATAGATAGATGCAAAGAGAATGGGATAGATGTGAATAGAATGAGATCAACAAACATATGGATCTAGAGACAGATAGAGAGATAGAGAAACATAGATACAAAGATAACGATTGAGAGAGAAACATATGTAGATATAAACAGATTGAGATAGATAAAAGTAAATGCTGATAGATAGATAAGGATAGAGTGTGTGATATATAGGTAGATATAGACAGATCGAGTTAGATAAATATACATATCGATAGATAGATAGATAGATAGATAGATAGATAGATAGATAGATATACAGTTTTTGATAGATAAAAATATAGAGAGACATAGGTAGATAGAGACAGAGGTAGATAAATATACATGTTGATAGATAGATAGATAGATAGATAGATAGATAGATAGATAGATAGATAGATAGATAGAGCCAGATGGAGATTGATAAATATATATGTTGATAGAGATAGACCGATTGAGATAGATAGATAGATAGATGTTTTGATAGACATACAGTTTTTGATAGATAAAAATATAGAGAGACATAGGTAGATAGAGACAGAGATAGATAAAGATACATAGATATGATAGATAGATAGATAGATAGATAGATAGATAGATAGATAGATAGATAAGAACAGAATAGTATAGAAAGATAGGACTTCTCGATTTAGGCCACTTGTATTTAACTGTTTAATTAAATAAAAACACTTGGGTAGCAACACGTGTCCCTACTAAAAATAAGGTTTATAGAAATAAGAAATAATGACGAATGAAAAATCCTTTGAAAAATAGGTAGTATTATGTTCACAAAATATCTCCCACGTTTTAAACTGTCACCTCTATGGCGTAAGTAAACATAGGCACGTGGCCATATTATTTAGGCAATTTCTTACCATGGGTACGTTGCCGTGGGGTCAGAACCTTCGCTTTCCGACCATGCGACCCGGGTTTGAGGCACTTCTACGTGGTGTAAGGTTTACGAAGTTTTTTCCTATCTGTTAGAAAATTACGAGTGAATAGTGAGTTATTCCTAAGTAATAAACCATGCATTCGGCCTTGTGCCACATCTAAAATCAAATACAAAACGGTTAATACAGTTCTCGATTTGTTTGAAAGGTGACGTTCGTTGTTATGTGTCCAAAATTGTAAGTGCCTAAAAACTGTAATCACGGCCTCGTTTTAGTGGAATTGACTACTAAGAACTAGTAGGTCGATAGTTGTGCCACACGAAGTCACAAGTCATCGTGACTGAGGGCTTCTTCTCCAGACTCTTGATCATGCCAGATAATTCGTTCCCTCCAAGAAATTGCAACTAAGTTCCGCTCAGCATAACTGCTGTTTTAACCACAGGTAGGGTATGTTGATTTAAAACAAACACAAATGCACCTGAGCATTCTCGTATATGATCTGCTAGCCATTTTTCTCGCCATTTTTTTTTTTTATGAGACTAACTGTTACCATCATGGCTTGGAGCGGTGCATAAAGATACGTTTAATGATGACCCGATTTTTTTATAAGACTGTTGAATCTGTAATTGCAACAAAGAGAGCTTTTGGTGTTCATTCCATGTTACGTCGGAATTATGCTGTTCTGGATAAAATAAAAATGGCTACTGTTACGGGCTGAAATTTTCAGCATCACAGCTTCAGCGCTTAAAAGTAATCCACCTGGAAGACCGTGAAGTGTTCTAATTTCCGGGTGATAGGAACCTTTAGAAATAATATAGAACAGTGTATGGCAATATAGATACCATTTCGAGGGTGTCATTTTAAAAACTAAATGAACAAAACATGTCCCTTTTTTTAAACAACAATGATTTTTTATATATATATAAAAACGCTCATAAGTATACATCAGGCTAACAATATAAATTATGGAAGATGCTAAGTGATATAATTTAATGTCCCTTAAGCAAAACTAAGTAAATGTTGCTGATTTTGTTTTATTATTATGCAATTATTAATTATACTGTTTTAGCTTGAGTTTATTTTAAGTATTAAACATTTTAAATAGTAGATTTTTTAGATACAACCTTTTTTTGTTTTGTTTTTTCATTTTTTAGCCATGTATGTTGGCTTAGGAAAGAGTATTTCTTTCAGAAAAAGGAGATATTTGAAGAAAATGAGGAGGTATTTCTGACGAACCATGTATTACCAAATGAATAGATTGCAAAAGTGTAACGCATAATGATGTCCTGAGAAAGGGTGAGGAACTTTCTTCTTATAATAATAATAATAATAATAATAATAAATACATTTTAAAAAATGAATTCTATTCTGTACTTCGATAGCAAGTTTAGGAAATTTTTAAAAGAACTTTTTTTTTTAATTAATTTATATATTGGTCCCAGTTGAGGCGTCATTATACTAGCCAATAGATAAGAAAAAGAATTATATTGAATGATGTCTCAGGGGTTTTTGATGTTGAATAAAAGCATGTCTTTATTAAGAACGTAAAATAAATTACATATTTCTGAATAAGACGAAATATACTTTAATTACGAAAACGACACCATATATACTTGCAAGCTAAAATACATCGATCTGTCTAGATTTATCGAACTTTTTTAAGTGTCTATAGTTCTGCAACGTTCTTAATGTGCTAGACATTGATTAATATTTTTTTCTTTTCATCAAATTGTTTTAAGATAAATCTTTTGAGTCGGATAAGAAATTAAAACTCAATGTCTAAATCCTGTTTCGTCAATTTTTTAAAGCAAAAATCATGGAGGCGGTCGCGTTAAAATATGACCGGAAGAGAGTTTAATGTGTGAAATCAACGGAAGACATTAAAGAAACACTCTTACACGCACAATTTTTCACACACACATACATACATACATATATATATATATATATATATATATATATATATATATATATATATATATTATATTACATCGAAAACTTATCAAAATCTTTCACAATTGCAGTCGAGTTCCGATGCTTATCAAATGCATCTCATCTTTCGATGTGATATCCTAAAATAAATAATACTGATCTACCTTGTATTGAGGCCTCTTTTACATTAAAACGAACGCTGGAATTGCATTCTATTCATCCTCATCTTACCTGGATATATATATATATATATATATATATATATATATATATATATATATATATATATATATCAAATATGTGATGAAGTTCAATTTATCATTCATTCAGAAAGCTAAATTAGTAAATGATATAAAAAATTAGATCCTTCGCTAACAAGTGTTTAAAGATGCATTAACCTACAAATCACTCGATGAATGTTATGATCTTTGTTTTTTAAAATCATAAACTGTATTAGGTCTTCCTTAAATACGCAAGTACTTTCGACTGTCCGTCCAGTCATCCTCAGACATGGAAATTATTTTGATTTTGGTAAAATTCTGGTAGAAGACGAAAAAATATAATACGAATCGAAATATGTTTTTTTTCTTTTTGTTTAAATATGTTATTCATACCGGATACAAACTTTTGGAGCATGCAGTCGCAATGCTAAGGTTGATGTTTTTCGGAAAATTTAAGTTTGCGCATTTTAAGTGAGTGCGTTTAAGTGAGTCTTTCAGGATAACAATTGGGACATTACTCTACTTATTCATGCCACGTTAACTAATAAAATCCTACAAAAAAATCTTAAATTGCCATATTAGCAAATAAAACACTCACATAAATTTTCAAAAAATTCAACCTTAGCGTTGCAACAGATAACTTGCAATTTAAATAATAATAATGATATTAATGAAAATTTGTCGATATCTTAACGGAAAAACGAGCGATTTGGAAATGACCATTTTGGGTAAAATTACAGTTAGTCAGGATCGGAAAGGAAAATTTTTATATATTGTCAATTTTTATTTTTAGTAAGTTTGGATTAGCCACACATTGAGATGAAATTGAGATGAACGTTGGAAATAGACATATTTTATTTAAAATAATAATAATAATAATAATAATAATAATAATAATAAGAAGAAGAAGAAGAAGAAGAAGAAGAAGAAGAAGAAGAAAAGGAGGAGGAGGAGAAATAAGAAGAAAAACGAGAACTAAACAATGCTAATTGGTAGGAGGAGAAAAATAAAAAAATTAGGAGTAAATAATAATAAAAAAATAAAAGAAGGGGAAGAAGAAATATTCAACACGATAGGATTTAGATCAAGGAGAAAAATGAATTCAAGAAACAGGAGTACGAAACGAAGAAAAAGGAAAAAGAAAAATTTCTCAAGAAATTCAAAGCGAAGAAATGAAGAGGGGGATAGGTACTAGACGAAGAAGAAAGGGATGTTAGAAAAGCTAACGACGATGAAGAAAAAAAACAAAAGATAAAGAATGGAGGAGGAAGAAAAAATTTCAGAAACAAAGAAAAAGTGAAATACAATGCGAATGAGAAGAAACAGGAGTTCGAAAAATTGAATTAAAACAATAATAATAATAATAAGAAGAAAGAAGAAGAAGAAAAAGAAGAAAAAGAATAAGAAAATAAGAAGAAAAAGAAGAAGAAAAAAAAAAGAAGAAGAAGAATAAGAAGAAAAGAAGAAAATTTATAGAAGAAAAGAAGAAGAAAAATTTTAGAAAAGAAGGAAGGCTGAAACCTTTGTTGTTGCAGCTGTAAATATGGCAATGTAGATTCATTTCAAAGTATTTTTGAATAAAAGTAAAAAAAAAAAACACTTTTATATACTGCCAAATATTTCTTTATAGTAGATCATTAAAGTTTTGAATAATTCCAAATTGAGATAAACTGGGAACATATATTTTGCAATTTAAATCGTAATGATGATGTTAATGAACATTTGCCGATAATATCTTCATGGAAAACGAGACATCCAAGAAGTGACCATTTTGGATGAAAATAGTCAAATTGATGCTAATCAAGATATTCCAAATTCAAAATGTTGTCCAGTATTTATTTGTAGTAAATTTGAATTAGCTGCAAATAATGCCAAATTGAAATGAAACAGAAATATTTTGATTTAAATAATAATAATAATAATAATAAGAAGAAGAAGAAGAAGAAGAAGAAGAAGAAGAAGAAAAATCAATTTATGGCATTCGATCTTGCAAGCGCAAGACCAAATTCTTTTACTAAAAAAAATTTCAGGCAAATCTCATAACATAATAATGTGGATAAAAAATGGAGGTTCTGCAACAAATATCAGGAAACCATAGATCGCCTAAAATCTCAGTATGTTCTGTACTTGCACCGAAATAAAATAAAAATAAAATCACAATGCAGAATGAATTTAATCGAGAAAGAGGAAATGAATGATGGATAAAAAAAAACAAGAATAGAAAAATATAAAAATACTAATTTTAAGATAGTTCTAACAAATGCCGAAAATGGAAATCAAATTTACTAAATGATTAAAATTACCCAAATTTTGGAATATTCAGTATCATAAAACCCTATGCAATAATCATAATTGTCATAAATTATTAATCGCAATGAATCAACCTTTTTTTACCCACTGAGGTTATTTTAAATATCTCCCGCTAAAGTGGTGAAATTGTGATGATCCCAGAAATTATAGGCCAATAACATTTAATCTACCACCTATAAATTTGATCATGTCTGATGACGAAATGTACCGATATGCATAAGAAAACTATATTCTTCTGGAACAGTCAAAAAAAAGGTTCATAAACCGACAAAGATCAACTATTGATAAACAAAATGAAATGGAAAATACAGGAAAATTTCATATTCTTCATCACAATTGGAATTAGATTGAAATGAATATTTGGCAACATTGCGACATTCTAATCCTTAAGAATAATTCAAGAGAATCCCTTTCATTTTGTGTTCGTCCAATATACTGTAAAATGTTTCATTCACTACAAATTTATATCTTGATATATTAGATTTAAAAATTGTTCAAGTAATATTCAAGAAAGGGTTAATTACAGATACACATTCGATTTTGTCAAAGAAATTAGGGAACTGGGACGAGAAGATGCCTATAGGTACATAAGAATTAGTGAAGGATTAATGGAAGAAAAAAACAACAAAAACATACTATTTCTTTTGCGTTGGTACTCAATTTAAAGTTAAATTCAAAGAAACAGAATATCAAAACAAACAAAAACTTTGATCTCCCAATCTTTACAATGTAGTTTCAACATCATTAGCTGGATCAAAAAATTTTTTTAATGGACCAAAAATAATTTTCGATAAAAAAACCAGCATGAATCATCCTAAAAAATTATGTTGATCGTCTGTCTTTGCCCAGATCCGAAGGATGGAATTTTATTCATCGTTCAACTAAGAAAATGTCTTACAAAAAACTACAATAGAACTCCTTTGCAGATCCCTGGAAAATAGAAAACAGTCAAATTAATTTTAAAAAAGTAAGAAAATTTTATTCAGTATTAAAGGAATCCAACAAGTTCAAAATGGAGTTTCATTAGAGGAAGAAAGAAATGTCGTATAAAATCAACACACTAGCGCAGGTGCAAAAAAACCATCAAATGAAATTTGGTACAAATTTTGATTACCAAAATTTAAAATGATGGAAGGATTCATTTCAAAATTAATATTCTTTCCGTATTTTACAAGTTGATTCAATGACAAACCCCGTGATCATCTTTTTTTTTATATTTTTAAATAAATTTAAAAGCTGAAATCGAATTCTTTTTTTTTATCTTGTAATGGAAACCAATCTTGCTGACAAAAAATTGCCATTCATTTCTGAAAAATTATTGGCATCAAAATGTAATTCTGTGAAAAAAACCTAGAAAAAATGAACCATCATTCATCAGGTTGCACAGTGTTTACCCACTATATATGATATAAAACCCGGCTTGACATTTGTTTTTCTAAAACTTTTAGAAAGGAAACCGTAAGAAATTGGTATGAACAACACCAAGGACCCTGTTAGAGAGTTAGTAACTGTAATTGTTTTATAGGACTTTTTTATTTTTCTATTCTACAGAACAATCAAAACTAATTGCAAAGACATTCCCTGTTTAAATAAATGGAAAAGACAAAAATTAATTTCTGTTCAAAAAAGTCTCTCAGACTAAATCTAATATTTTTTTTCTTGTTTTCAAAAAACTATCAAAAAAGAAGGAAATATTGAAATACAAATCTAAAATATAAATAATGTTATAAACAAAATAGATTAACTTGATGAATGAATCTTTTCCGATTTGATTCTTTGAAGGGATTCCTGGCAACCCATGCTTTTCTAAATACAAAGAATTTTAATCTTTATTGGTTGATCACATCTTACAAAAGGCTTTATTGATGTATATGTGTGATCATAAATGTTTTTTTTTTTCAAAAATGCTTAAATAAATGTCATTTCTAATCCTTAGGTCTTTGGTTGGATACCACTATTGAAAAAAATTATAAATATCTAATCTGCTCTTTAAAAAAATAATATGTAATAAAATTTATAATATTTCTAAACAAGGAACAGTTTAAGCTGACATTACTTCATTCAATGTTTGCATTAAGACCGTTTTCGTTAATCGGAGAATGTTCCAATGTAAAAAAATACAGAATACATGGATGAATTCTCATTAATTCTTGTTCAGATGAAAACTAAAACAATTTCTGCAACGATTAATCGGTATTCCTTTTGAGATGATGTTGACGAGAAAAAATGTGTCAGGCGAATAGTTCAACATAATGGTTTTAACACACTTATGACAAAATATCCCAAAAATTTTAAATACGACGATTTCAAATTTCAGTTAACTGCCAAAATATAATTAGAATTTTTCTTTTTCTTATATACTATTGTCCAGGAGCCCTCATGGCAAAGGATTATTTAATGATGTTCTTTTAAATAGCGCTCATTAAAGTGGTAAATTAAAGAGGATATAATAAATAATGAGTTATCAATAATATGACGTATTCTTATTTTTAAGATATAAACTGATAGATCAAAATAATAATAATAATAATAATAATAATAATAACCCGTACCCATCAGTGGCTACGTAGTTCAGGGTTGAAAACGGAAACTGAAGGTTTTATCCTTGCTGCGCAGGACCAATGCTTGTTAACTAGAAATTATCAAGCACATATACTAAAATATTGTGTTAGCCCAAAATGCAGATTCTGTGATAAATATCCAGAAACGATTGATCATCTTGTATCAGGTTGCACGGTGTTGGCACCCACTGAATATAAAACCCGGCATGACAGAGTCGGCCAATATCTGCACTGGAAAATCTGCAACTTCTACGGGAAGGAAACTGAAAGAAACTGGTATGAACACCACCCAGACCCGGTTACGGAGATAGGACCTGTTACAATTCTATGGGACTACACAATACACACTGACAGAACAATCAAAGCCAACCGCCCAGATATTGTTATTAAAGACCACAAACAAAAAAAGTGCCTCCTTATTGATATGGCAGTCCCTGCAGACTGCAATGTATCTTTGAAGATATTCAAAAAGTTGTCAAAATACAAGGACCTTGAAATAGAAATCTCAAAAATGTGGCATATGGGAACATCAACAATCCCTGTTGTAGTTGGAGCCCTAGGACTGATTGGAAAAAGATTGCAGTAGACTAATTGAAGGGATTCCTGGAAGTCCATGCCTCAAGGAGATACAAAAAATTGTTCTGACAAGTACAGCCCACACTTTACGAAGGGCTTTATCTATGTAATTTTTTTTTTTTTTTTTGTCAGTGGAAAGTGTCATGATGCCATTTCTAACCTTAGGTCCCTGGGCGGGACCCGGAAAGAAATGTGTAAACGCCAGAAATCAAAGAAAATAAAAAATAATAATAAATAATAATAATAATAATAATAATAATTATATCATGGTCTGGATAATTATAATAAAATTGCACTCTTCGAGGAAAATTGAATAAATTTACTAAAACTCCGACAATTTGAAAATGATCGACATAACAAATTCTGCCAGGTAAAATTTGTCTCAATAATGCTTTCTCATCGACGTTTAACATTTTTTGCTGTCTTTTTTGCAAATATTTTCATTTGAACACACACATGGTTTTTTTCTTTTGAATGAACAGGTTACTTTTTTTGTTCAAATTTGCTTTCCCCCATTGGTTCAATGGAAATAGTTTAAAGTTTTTTTTTTTTACCGGAAATCAGATGCAAATTCCAATTTCTATTCTAAAAGTTGAAATTCAAAATCAAAACAGAAATCCAACTCTGATTTGAATTTTTATAATAAATCTTTGTCGATCTTCTAAATTCAGAATACAAAATTCATTCGTTATTTCATTCATTATTTATTAAAAATTGTTCTATTTATAAATTAACATATATATTTTTTAATTCACGTCTTGAATGAGATTTCCATAATAAACAAATTGAATAAAAATGGCATTTGATGTTTAGTGGCATCTAAATCTTTTCAATTAAAAACTAAATGAAAATATTTTTTGTTATTTTTTGAAAAAAAAAACAAAAAAATCCCAGACTGCCAAATATTATCAGGCCTTAAAACTTTATCATTGTAAATATATAATGTTTTTTTTTTTTTTGAAAAAATTTTCAAAAAAAAATCAATTACCATTTTATTTAAACCTTGGGTCTTTACAATTTTTAATTTTTGTTAAAAATGATTTTGCAAGAAAAAAAAAAGAAAATAATTTAATAATAATAATAATAATAATAATAATAATAATAATTCCATATT